CCCGTAGCCGGGCAGGGCCGCGCTGACTCTGGGCGGGGGTTAAAATGTAACTGAGCCAGAGAACAAACCGGCTGCCTCTGCGTCTCCTCCTGAGACTTAAACGCACTGGGCTAGATCTGCCCTGGGCAGCCTCCGCTCCTTTTGGGGGTCAGTCAGGACAGGGAGAGAGGGGGAAGGCGTCTGGTGCCCGAGGCTGGTAGCTCTGCTGGGCCATTGCCCCGGCCCGTTGGGGTCCCTGCCCAGGCTGCAGGTGCCTGAGCCAGGCACCATTGGTTTGTCTGATTTGCGAGAACTGTTTTTTCTGATTTGTTTTATTTTAAGTGAAATGATCTACCTCCGCGACGCTTGCTGGATTCCATTGCTACAGCTGGCTCTGCCGGCAGGGGTTGCTGGGGGGGTGGCGTCCCAGGTGCTGGGATGCGCGTCAGAAAACCAGGGGTTCGTTGCGCCAAACGTCCCCCAGGCAAGTGAGATTTGGGGCTGTACATGAGCAGAACCGGGGGGGCTTCCCGGGCAGTACAGGCCCACGTGCGGCTCTCGGGGCTCCATGAGGAGAACAGAACCTGCCCTTTATCATCTGTGGCCAGGTCCTGAGAGCCTTTGCTAAGTTTTTATCCAGGCCTCACTCAGACAAGCCTCTGGCTACGGATTTATCCCCCAGTCAGCGCTGGCGTGTGCAAGTCAGCTGGGTGGAGCTGAGCAGGGCCACCTCATCTGGCCTGCTCGGCTCGTTCCCATTTCCACCTGACTCTACAGCCACCTGTGGGATGGTCAAACTCGCGCTGTATTCCCCCAGAGAGCTCACACCGAGTGCCGCTTCGTGCTGACGGTCCCAGGTAGCGAGCGTAGCAGTCGTGCGCCTTGGGCAGGGCTTGGACGCGCTGTGCAGTCCTGGCTGGCTGGCCCACATGCACTGTAACCTGACTAGCCTGCAAGCATGGCGCGTACCCTCTGCCCCATGCACCGAATGTACCCCTCCCTATGCACTGATGTGTGCACTGCGCCCGGCTACCGCATGTGCTGTGCATCCCTAACTGCACCGCATGCTGGGTACGCTGACTGCACGGCTTGCACCAGAACCTGCACGAAGCACTGTGTTCACGCACAGGACACTGTGCAGCGTGCGCTGGTGCACTGATCTCTCCCAGGGACAGAGTGTCCCATGCACACCGATTACACCACCCGCACACACAGCACACCAGAAACTGAGCATCACGTCTCCCATTCACCATCTGGCACGAGTCCCACAAGCAGGGCTTACAGGGCAGGGAGTCACGGGAACATACGCCCAGTGCCAGTTAGAACAAGGTGTGCATGGCTCTGGCAAAACTATGGGGCAGAGCAGGGGCAGTCCAGCTCCCCCCCCCACCCTCAGCTGGTGCAGTGAGAGCTCTTGTTTCAATCTACTTTAACCCCGGTGCTTGGAGTTGTCAGTGCACTGACTGTACCATGTGCTGTCCGTTATACCCCTGGCATCTGCATTACCGCACGCTGACTGCACTACGTGCCTTTTACACACCATGCACTCACTCACCCTGGCTCATTGTACTGTATGGTAATAGTGAGCTCCATAGAACTGTGCAGACCTCACACTGTAACGACACCATCAGTACTGACTTCACCAGGGGTATTACACCTCTCAATCTGTATTTTGCACACTTACTACCACACTCTTGTCCTATACACCATACTACCCATTGATGGTAGCATACGGTATAGAAATTGTCCCTTTGCCATATGTCCATTGTCCTTTTCAGGCAACTATGGTCCTGTTGTACCATGGACTGGCCCAGATTATGATCTCAGGTCAGTGGGATAAATCCAGAGTAATGCCACAGTCAGCTGCGTCACTCTGGATTTCTGTCGTTATCAGTGAGATCAAACGCTGACCCACCACCTGAAGAAGACATGCCCAAATGGTGCTGCCACACTGCATGCCGATCGTCCCCCCCACCTCCGCCCCGGCACAGCCCGCCCCACGATGCTGCATGCATTCTGCACCACGTGATGCACAGTGTGGGCTGTCACACCAAGCGCTGTCTGGAGCATGGAGAGTTAGCACAATTAGCAGAACGTTGGCATCTTCCTAGGCAGATTGTAACCACGGCCTACCTGATGGCCAGCCCATTGCAGCTGGAGGCCGACTCCCGAAGGCGGGTTTGAAATAGATTGCAGAGAGCGAGAGAACTGGGGGAGAGAAATAGACCCAGCCGGACAGACGACGTCTGTGCATAGTCTGCAAATCACTGTCCACATGGGGTCTTTAGCGTCAGGGTTATTCCCATCTGGATGCTGCAAACCGAAGAAACGGGGCTGATCCCATAGCAAGGGCACAGGGGCAGCCAAAGAGCTAGTCGCTGCCTCAGCCGCTATCCCCTGGGCATTCAGATTTAGCCCCTGGCTTGTCCTGGTCACTGTTTTGGAAGCAGCCTGTTCACGAAAAGCCCTGTAGCGTTAACTGGTGTTTCTCAAAGTGACCTAGTGCCCCCCTCCCTGCAGTACCCAGGATCTCCCCTAGGTGTCGCTGGGTTGCTGTTGTGTGCAATGTATCCAAGTTGACACATTGCCTGGTGTGTTGTATTCTTTGTAATCTGAAGGGTTGGGCTAAAGCTGGTGGTTGGGATGTTTTTAGACCTTTCCGTGTTGAATGGCAGCCGCCGAAAGCCTTGCTGTGTGCATGTCCGCTTGGTCCAGGTTACAGCTGGAGCATGGGGGCCAGCCCTACACACCCATCTGCATGGAGCAAATTGACACTAACGAAAGGGCAGAGAAGCTGTTTTGCGTTCGTGGTTCCTCTGGACTCCCAGTTCTAGGGTGACCAGATGTCCCGATTTTAGAGGGACAGTCCTGATTTTTGGGTCTTTCTCTTATATAGGCGCCTATTACCCCCCACCCCCGTCCTGATTTTTCACACTTGCTGTCTGGTCGCCCTACCCAGTTCGGACAGGAACTGCAGCCCCCTCCCAGTTCGGCATTAACCTGCCTGGCATTGGCACAGCATCTGGGTGTGAATTAGGGCCCTGCAGGACGATCTGAGCTTGGGGGGCGGGTTTGGGTTTCTCTTTCTCAATGGCTGTTTCGCCTCAGCGAACCATTTATGGGTCAGAAATCCTATGACAGCTGCTCCACTTGGGTGATGTAAAAGGAGCAATGAGGAGGAGATTGTGTAGTGGCCAGAACATGAGACTGGCAGTGGGGAGTTCAGAGATCTGGCCATGGCTGTGATTCCGAGTGACGGCGTGACCCTGGGCAACTCACTTAATCTTCCCTGGGCCTCGCTCCGTGCCTCAGTGTCCCATTCTTAAGACAGGGGAGTGAGTTTGCAATCAATGTTTGTCAGGGGTTTTGAGATGCTCAGAAGAAAGGTGCCAGAGACGTGAGAACTGATGAATATTATTAGCTCCCCTGTCCACGGTCTGCCATACCATGAGGTCATTATTTTGGCCCTATAAATGGCTGTTGGTGAGACAAGGTGGCTGAGATAATGCCTTTTATTGGACCCCTTCTGACGATGGCTGACAGGTACAAACACTGGAGCCTGCCTTCCCCACTGTTTGGGCTCTAATCTGGCTCTAGCGTTGAGTCCTAGGGGACTGCGATGGCTGCGGGCGCACTGTTACTTCGTACATGTAAGGAAAGAGTTTCATAGCGAGGTTGGAAGTGTCGTGTTCGTGTCACTAGGGCTCCAGAGAGACAGGCCACTATTTGGCCAACCCCAGCTGTTATCAAGGGGTAAATACGTGCTCAAGTCTCACAGTCTGGGGCCTGCTACTGTGGGGTGGCCAGGGGGACAGTTAAAGGGGCAGGACTGCGAGGTGGTGGGAGGGTCCCAGCCGGAATGTCACACGGTACCCGGCAATGGAACTGCCTGGCAGTCTGAGCCCTGCGCGGGAGTCGGCTGGCACAACACTGCATAGTAATCCTGGGTTTACCACTGCTGGACCTGGGTGTCACAGCCCTGCGCACGTGGCCGTACCTCGCCATGCAGACCGGCCGACTTGGGTCTGCAGTTTGAGCTGTGTCCACACTGCAAAGTGACAGGGCTTGGACCCGAGTGGCAGCGGGACTCGGGCTCTGACCCACTCCCTAGCAGGGTCCTAGGTCCTGAGTGTTTGCTCGCCCAAGTCAGACTGATTTGTGTGCAGACACAACCATAGAGCTTTAAAGCTCATAACCCACCCCTTAAACTTCACCAGGAGCCAGCTGACAGCCAGTGCAGATCCCAGAGCTCCGGGGCCACGCGCCCCTGGGGGGTGGGGGGGCAGCAGCACTGAGGAAGGGCCTGAGGCAGGGTCAGTGAGTCACTGGTTGGATCCGCAGGCTGGCAGGATGCGGGGATAGCAGCCAAGCAGCGTCATGCCACCAGCGTGGGGGGAAGAGGCCTTCTTCCACACCCCTGCTCCAGTCTCCTGCACAGATCCCATTGGCCTGGGCTTTGTGGGAGAGGCAAGGAGAGCGGCATGTGCCCTTTAGACTACAGAGGCTTCTCCAGTCCTGGGTTTGCTTCAGCTTTGGTTGGTATCCAGCATTGTTAGCCTGTCAGCATTCGGTGCGTCACCATCCTCATGGTCCTCCACTGATACCCACGCTGGGGACCTCTGCGGGAGGAGCGATGCCCTAGCTCTTCTGGGGTGACTAGCTGGGCTTGTCACGGGATCCTCGCTGCAGCCCTAGGGAGGGGCAGCGAATCTGCATCGCCTCCCCCTTAGAGCCCCTGCCCCGCCCCAGCCCCATGGCATGAGCGCAGAGGGGGCAGTCGTTGGAGGGTGGATTCTTTATTGGCTCTAGGGGACTCTGGGATATTCCCCTTCAGTTTGCTCCTACGTATAAAGAAGCTGGGGCCTCAGCTGCCATTGTCTGCGTCAGACGATTATCCCAGCCCCAGTGTAGCATAAACCAAGCTGCGTCCACAGTTATCTTCAGCCACTTGTTGGGCCCCAGTAAAAAGACTTTCCAGGGGCCTGGTTGGCAGGCGGGTGCCAGGAGGGTGTTGTGTGAGACCGGAGGACTCAGGGGCCCTGCTGGGTGTTTATACTGTCCTGTATGGGACAGCTGGATTGCCCCGACTGTGTCCAGGGTCTCATTTGGGGGGATGGCGGTGTGGGGGGATGGGTTTTCCTGTGTTTTGCTCTGTGTCACCGTGTGTACGTGTGTTTGTGGGCACTCCATGACGTGATCTTGTCCAGCACACATGACCTGAGGCCACCAGCCCGTCTTTCCAGCCCAGCGCTTGGGGTCAGGTGGGAAGGGGGGCATCAGGGGGTCTCTGGGCTCCTGCTGCAGGGACTGCACATGGACCGGCCACACTCCCCGGCGAGATGGGGGTGGGTAGAAGGGTGTCGCCCGAGGGGGCCACAGCTTGCTACAGACAGGCAAGAATCCCCCATTCTGTGGGCTGGGCTGTCAAACATGCGCCTCCTCCCACAGAGCTGTTATGTGGCTCTGACAGTCATCTGGGAAGGGCTCGGAGGCCGGCGTGTCGCCAGGTGGGAAACCAACTTCGGATCAGCAGTGACCTAGAGGTGGTCGCTGGCTCCTTGGGCTGGTGGGGGGCTGGGAGCCCTGCTGGGAGGGCCGGGAGGAAAGGGCAGGTTTTTCTGTGCACCGAGCCATGGGCGTTGGACTCTTTGGAGGAACTTTCCCGGAGCAAGCGCTGGGAAAGGGAAGCCCACTGATAAACGGGCCAGTTTTCTATGCACTCTAGCCATGGTATCCCCACCCTCTCCACTGCTCTTGGGAGAGGGCGAACGCTCCCTAGCCCCTGCAATAACCTCAGAGCAGCTCAGCGGCTGGGCTCCGGCAGCCAGCGCCCCATGTGGCGTGCGAGTGGGGACGGGGAGCCAGACACGGGACTGAATGCTGGGCCTGGGAGTCTCGTCTCTCGTCTCTGATCCCGCCAGTGCAGTGTCTTGCCCTTCCGCCTCTAGCTGCTCATTCCTGCTGGGCAGGTGCAAGGCCATGTGTGGGCAGGGAGGGGAGAGGAAGCCTGGCCCATCTGTGCTGTCTCTAAGGCAGGGCTCCAAAGAGGAAGTCCCTGAGTGTTCTCTGGCTAGTGCCTGAGGAGCCTTGGTAGTCCGGTCCCCTCCCCACCCACCCAGAAACAAGCCCGTTCCCTGCAACGTTTCAACTATCATGAAATTCTCAATAGGGCTGAAAAAAGACCCAAACCGAGCGGAAAAACTGACCTCAGCTGCTGGGAAATGGGTTTTAAAACATTCTCCTCTCTAGGTTCTGTGCACCCCAACAACACCATAACCATGGCAGCTCCCGGAACGGGCCCGTCCGTGAGGGGCAAGGTGGGTGCCAGCTCGAAATCTGGAGCCAGAGGTGGATTTTGAACACCCTCCCCCCCCCCAATCCCAAACCAAGATTTTGGGCCAGCCAAAGGGACACCTGCAAAGTGTGGGCCTAGGGTCAGGTTTGGATTCTGCCTCCTGCTTTAAGAGCAGGGGAAAGCTTGGTTCAGATTAGGGACTGGCTTCTGCCCACTAAATGACACAGACCCCACTGGTGCCGGTGGCGGGGGAGGAAGGTCAGAGCAGGGAAGGGGGGTGCTGAATCCTAGTCCGTCCCCCCCCCCAGAATTCAGGGAGCTGGAGCTGGGGTTTACCTGGGTCCAGCTCTAGTTTTAAACAGCCAGTGAGAACAAAGTACCCACTCTGGTTACGGATTTGTTGGGAGCACTAGCCACATGGCTGGTTGGTTTGCTGGCTAGTTCCCCTCGCCTGGCGCAGATCTCTCCGAGCGGTTTGTTTCTCCCCTCTCCCTCTCGTCCAGCATCTGGAAGCACTTCCATCATGTACTGTAAATACTCTGTGTGACACCTTCGTCTTCTTACTTCCCTTGGGAGGCGGGCAGGGCCGGGGGCGGGGGGCGGGGGGCGGGAGGAGACCGAGGTTCTGTACTAAGACTTTTTTGTATACCACAAACTTTTTGTATATTTTTAATTTTGCTGCAACATGAGATATTAAATTCCTTTCAATACACCTGGCCTGTGGGCCTTTCATTGCTCTGCCTTCCTTCCCCTCTAGGTGCACCAATTCCCAGCAGCTGC